TTTTTTTTTTTTTTTTTTTTTTTTTTTTTTTTTGCGAGCACATCTGGATGTGCCCGCAGAACATTCCATTCACTACTAATTTTTTGTGCCTCACGCCAGAGGTGCCCGGAAAATATTCCGTTCGCTAATAAATTCTTGTGCCCTACTCCATGTGACTGCATGGTGCCTAAATTCGCATTTGGATTACTGGTCACTGTCATGTCTTTGTGTGACCAGGGGCTAGGTCCCACTTGCACGAATTAAGAGATACTGACCGTAGATAGCAAAGATCAACGGCCAAAAAAAGGGGGGGGGGGAGGAGAGATGGAGGATGAAAATGAAGGAAAGGGAGAATCCTGAGCTTGCATTGAATGCTATACTTGCACTACACTTGCAGTACTGGTAATTTATCAAGTGAACCTAGCCAAAATTACGGACAGATTCGTCGACAAGTCCGATATACAATCATGAAAAGGGGGCATGTATACTTAACAGGAGGTAGGGAAGAACGCTACGCCGCTGCAGAGGCAACGGCAACGGCAACAGCAGACATGGGATGATTCAGAATAGGAAGAAGAAATTACAATCAAGTGGTAGAGAGAGAGAGAGAGAGAGAGAGAGAGAGAGAGAGAGAGAGAGAGAGAGAGAGAGAGAGAGAGAGAGAAGGGAACCAAAGGAGGGATCGAGGGAGGGAGGGACGCAGGGAGGAAAAGAGGAAATGGTTGTTGGCAGGAAAGCTCTAGCCAACGTGGATGTATAAATAGTAAATAGTAAATACTCGCTTTACGGATAACTTCATGAATTGACGTTTTTTTTCAATTACTCACCTTTTCCCTCCCCTTCCTCTTTCTTTTTTTCTCCCTTTTATTTTACCATTTCTCGCTGTATGTTGCTCATCCTTGCGTAGGGACCATGCTAATCTTCTTTGCATCGTTCCAATTTTAACGAATATCTCCAAGGACAAACGGGTAAAAAGGACAAATGGGTAAAAAGGACAAATGGGTAAAAAGGACAAATGGGTAATGTTTACCTCGCGAAGAAAAGGCAATGATCTTCCGTGGTATCGTTGCAATTTTAACGGATGTCTAGAAGGACAAATGGGTAATTTTTACCTCGCGAAGAAAAGGCCTTTCGTAGTCTCCTCCGTGCGCGCCACACCCCTCATTCGGTCATGGAAATCCGGAAATCGGCTGATGAAGACTTCCTTGAGCAACGCCAGCGAGCTGATGACAACAACAGGAAATCTTCCTTGATAGATCTTGTACATATCCCCATATCTGCGAGCCCAATCCATGAGAACGAACGGCTGTGGTTTCTCGCCGAAAAGCATCTCCATGGTGTGTCCGGTGATGCTGTGCCATGGCTTGGGAGGTCCAGGCATCGACGCCAGCCTGCGCAGCTGCTGTCCATCGCCAGCAGGAAGAGAGGAAGGTGAATGGGTGGAGGAGGAGGAGGAGAGAGAGGAGGGAGGGTGCACTCCAGACCCCGCTCCCCTGCGCAGCATTTCATACAGCCGCAGAAGGAAGATGAACAAGAGGCCCACCGCTGCGGTGAATACGATGATCCCAATGGGATTCGATCCATCGTCAGCTCCAAGGTGAGCGCCTACGCGAGTCAGGTGAGAGACCAGCTCGGCGCGCAGCTGGTCCATTGTACCGCGCACTTGTTCGCATGCCGCCCACATGATGGGAGTCGATGTGTGTACCCAAGCTGTTTGTGCCCGGCCTCCAGAATGCTGTCAAGGAGGAGGAGGAGGAGGAGGAGATGGCGGCGATGGCAGGGAAAATGGAAAAGCAGGAGGAGACCAAGACGTAAAATGCGGAGGAAGAGAGAGAAACTCCCAACAGAACAGATGTCCCCTGCGCCCGTCGAGTCATCTTCTTGTGTAAACAAACGTAAAAAAACAAGGGCAAGAGTAACTCCATACACCCTTTGCTGTAGGTGAGGGGATCGAACCCTCCCAAACACCTCCCAAAAAATAAGGGGGCACATGCATGTCAAAGGAAGAGGACAACAGCATTGCCCATGTGAAACATTTGCGGGGACTACAGACAACTTGGACGAGGGTCTGACACGGACTGACATTCCCTCATGATGGGAAACACCGAAAAATTTTGTTTTCGGCCTCTCTTCCACCATGGGCCACGACCCAAAGGTGAGTGAAAGGTGAGTGAAAAGCAACACAAAAAAAATGGGTCTGATTTTCACTCACGTTCGGGACCCCCAGAGGAACACGGCAAGCAAAACAAAAGAAAGACCACCCAATGGGATGCTCCAAAAAAACATATATTTTCGAGGGCTAAAATACAGGAAAAATAAAAAAAACCACCGATCCCCATTCCCATCGACGGCGGAGGCGGGTCACACTCCCTCTACACTACTCCACATACAATGCTAGTGGGATCTCCCTCCGGGTAGACTGCGAGGACCCCGGCCTCAAACTTTGTTGGAAATATATAAAAACCTTTCGAAAAAAAAAAAAAAAAAAACTCGAAAAAAATAAATAAATAAATAAATAAAATTCAGGAGCTGTCAGGGAAAGGGTTTCGACACCTCTCCTCTCTCTCGAGAAGGGCTCGTTTCCTTTTTTTTTTTTTTTTTTTTTTTTTTTTCAAAAGTCCTCCGATGGGATGTCGAATTCTTGCCCGAATGTCGAAAAAGAGAACGCACCAACGCTTGTCCTGTCTTCACCCCAAGTTGTCTCTTTTGTGCATACGACTCGTGAGTTCTTCACTTGGACATGCGGTGTGGCGAAGAT